CAAAATGAAAATTATTTTCTACTTGATTAGATACTGTTAGAAATCATCATACACACTTCCCCGCCATCCCTCTCACTTCTCTAATTGTTTTCATCAACGAAACAAAGTCAAGTTAAAGAACGAAAGAAAGAAAAAAAGAAAAACATAAAGATAATAATTATAGTAGAAGTAATGGTATTCATATTATTAACAATACAATATTATTATTAATAATAATTGAAATAAACAAGCAATCATAAAAGTTTATTTTTTGCTCTTTTTTTTCTTCAGTGCAACAAAAACTGGGAGAGAGAGAGAGAGAGAAAGAGAGAAAAAGATCAATAAATTATTCAATAGGGTAGTGGGTGTGTAGGTAGTAGTTTGGATAAGAAGTGAATTTGTGAAAAATCAATAATAATTATAGTAATAATAAAACATAACATTATTATTAATTATAGTAATAATAATAATAATAATGAAACAAACGTTGTTTACCTTAGAGCAGCAGTAATAATAATCATTATTATTATTATCATCATCATAATAATATGAGTTATAGGTAATAGGCAGTTAATACTATTGTCACTGATTTGTCTTTTTTTGTTTTTTTATTATTAGAACCATTCATTTTCATTGTGTTTTCATTGATCGATTGTTTATTTCTTTTTATTGATTAATTTATAATGTGTGATAAATGAATTTTCTTATTGTAACTATGACATGTAAACATAATTGAATCGCGAGAGAGAGAGAGAATGGGGGGAGAGGGAGAAATAAACATGTTGTATAAAAAAAGAAATAAACATTCACTCACACATACACACATAGAGTACCTCTTGTGAACATATAGAAGTACACAAGTATACACACATACAAGAAGGTTGTATGAATTCAAATGATTAAACATTAAACAACAGGTATATTGACATATTCAATATATATACCTGTATTTGAGCAAGAGGATTGTACAATATGCACCATTATATAATTACATATGGTCGTAATATGGAAATAGATTGCATTTTTTTTGTATTTGTGAAAAACAAGGCAACTAATTTGAATTTATTTATTATAGTTATTCAACAAGAAAAAATTAATTTTAAATTATGATAAACCTGGTATATAATAACATTTAGAAGATGAAGAAGGGATTGATTGATAATAAAGAAACATCCCACCCCTTCATTATTACATAATACATGAAACAAAAATGAGAATAATGAAGATTGAAAGAAGAATGAATGATGTCTAATTTACATGTATTGAATATGTGAATATACACAAATTAATACACGTACATACATACATACATACATAAGGAGCTTCATGTAAACATGAATGAGAGGCAGAGGGGTAAACAAAGACTGAAATTATGGGTAATCAAATGATTAAGCAGAAGAAAAAAAATATTAAGGAAAAAGATAAAATTAACATTATGAGATATCAATTCATCATATTGACAACTACTGTTAATGTGTGTGTAAGGGGATGGTGGTGGTAGGAGTAAACAAACACTTCTGTAATAATTCTGATAAAGATTTTTTTATCCTTAGACTTGTTAATTTCACAATATGAACACAACATATGATGACTAACTCTTCAAAAGTAGAATTACTGAAGTAGTAATAGTAGTAGTCGTACCTACGAATGCGATAGAAACAAACTGAATACAATCTACATACTCAACTTGCATGTGTGTATATCATTTTGTATATGCACAAGTTTATTTCTTATTAGCAAAAATATAGAGAGTAACTAAATTGATGTAAAGGGTATGTGTTTGTGTGTGTGAGTGGTGTGTAACGCAAGAAACTTAGTTGTTGAAGTGAAATAATAAATTCGTTAACCAGAAAAAAAAGAGGAAATTCATTTCTTGTGAATACTGTTAAGATGTTTGTTTTAAAAAAATAAGGAAACGAAGCCAAAAAAAGAGAGGAAAAAGCAATTCGTTCATCGGCACTAGTGAGTACACACACACACACACAATAACAAACACAAATCATCATACACCTATATTTATATAAAGGAGAAACTATGTAATCAGGTCTTGTTTGGTTATATCTCCATTTTGTGTAAACAAACATATACGTAAATAAAATAGATCAGTAGTATTTTGAACATTCAGAGAAAAGAAGAGATCAGACGAAATCAAAACGGATTAAATTAGCAGTAGTTCCAAAGAGAAAGATGGAGACAGATAAACACACGCACAAAGGAACAGAGAGAGGGGGAGGAGTACAGAACATTAACAAATCTCATGCTTCGAGCCCGGACAACAACACACTGTACAAATATATATATATATGCATGAGATAGAGACAGAGGGATAAGAAACGGGTTTATTTTAATAAAAAAAGACAAGGGAAATATGATCATTATTGGATCAATTATTGATGATTTTTTTTAGAAAAAAAGGCAACAATGAATACCTTGTTACAATACTACTATCAATATACTACTAATAATAAACCAGAATTTTAAAAAAAATTCTTTTTAAAAACTATAATAATATTGAATAAAACCAAATGAGAAAGTAAAGTAACATTGTCAATAATACAAATAATCTCTTGAATTATTAATCACTGTTCATTATTAAAATTCTCTTATAAAATATTAAAGAGAAAAACAAAATAGAGAAACAATAATCAATATAAGCAAGGAAAAGAAAAAAACAGAGAGAGAAGAGAATGAAGAAAAACGAAGCAACAAACGAGCAAACAGACGAAGAACTAAATGAAGATGAAGTAACAAACGAACAGTATAAAGACGACGACGACGACAACAACAACAACGTTGTCTTAAAGCAAAAATAAAATGTATGTAATACATATGGTATATCAATGTTGGAAGGGAGTGATCGTCAATTCATGAAAATAAGAATAAACAACAATAACAACAGAGATAATGGCAACATTAACAATACAATGCTAATTACATACTGTTTATATAAGAAAATTGAGCACGTACCCGCACACACACACACACCCACGGACGTAGAGAGTTGTAGCTTATGTGTGGATGTGTGTGTATCAGAAAGAGAGAAAGAGATAGGGAGATTTTGTATATACGGAGGAAAGAAATACAAATTTCGCATATGTTTAGGTCTTTATAATAATTGATATGATCAACTATCTATTAGGGTAAAGTATGGATTAAAAAGATATAATTCTGTATAGTGTTTAATCAATATTATCGAGCGCTGACACAAATATTGATGCTCATATTTTCATAAAAACATAAACGTATAAGCGTATTTAAACAAATAAATATAATTAAGATTCATCTGGAGCATCAGCATCCACATATTCAATACTAGAATTTTGACGTTGTCTAAATGCCAACGAACCAATACTTCTACGTTGTTCCAAATCAATATGTGGTCCAAGTCCCATACGGAATGCATCGACCACTTTCATCTGATGATAAGTAGAATAGGTTTTACCAATATTATTGATTGGAAGCAAGTAAAAGATAAGGAACAACAAAAAAGAAACAAAATAAAGCTTTTATTATTTGTGGAAAAATTCTTTAACTGTTTAATGATATTTACATATCTATGTGATTAAATACATTTAACAATATATAAACATCTGGCTAGTTTACGTAATTAAGACAGGATTCCTTTGCTTCGTCATTCCTACATCATCTTTACATATTACACATATTGTATAAAATGAAATTATTCCCCCCCCCCATCTATATCGGAGATGGTAACTTATACAAAGATAAGATAAGCAATATTGTGATACATGCGAACATATGCCTTATTGATAGTCGTAACAATAACAAATTCTCAATAGTTTACACAGATAAACAAACAAACAAACAAACAACGAATTACAGCTGTCATCAAAACTAGCCTAACACAAAGTCTATTTTGATAAACGGTAATAAACAAAGAATGAGAGGAATGAGAGAGATTATGCAACTCATCGTAATCACTATAAGAATATTAGAGAAACAATCATAAGTGAACAATGAGAAAATGTAAGACCCTCATTTCGAGTGTCAGTCGATTAGTCATCTACAACGTAGAACCAGGCACATATACGCATCAGTTCAAGTCGCCATATCTCATTAGCACAATAAGGTAAACACCAAATTCATAGAAGTAATTACTACAATGATATTAATATATAAAAGACAGATTGTGTGTAGCGATATAGTACAGGAAGAAAGAATTAGTCTGTAGAAAGAAAGGTATAAAGTAATTTTAATCTTACAGTTTAAGCGAAGACAAAGAGTGTATACACCTACGCCATTATGATCGATTCTGAACCATGTTACCCACAGTCGTGAAGACCTTAAATCAAGTAGTTTGCATCTACCAACATGATTTAGACCAGAAATGAGTGCATTTTATGGACTGATGTCACGTTTTAGTTTATTCACCTTTAACTTTCTACAATAATCAAAGCTGATGTACATAATTCAATATGGAAGATTTCAGTTAAGAATTGAGATCAACAATGATTTATAGAATGGTTATTATTTATAAAGTCCAAACATACTATAAATATTGATGAAGTCATTGACAAATATTATTGAATAACAGTTATGATCCATCTACAATAATCATTTAGCTTAATTTAAACATACTAAACATTAATTGCTTAGCTATAAAATCTGTTCATTACTGTTATCAAAGTAATTTCAGTTAGGCAACTATTGAGAACCAAGGAGCATTGACAAACAACTGCCTAATCCTCGTTTAAAGCTTTAACAATAGGCATTCATGACCCTACGAAAGATCTTTAAGGTTCTACGGAAAGTGTTATCCAAGTGATTTATAGTATTAACTTCATTAAATATATTGCCCACGATCATCCCCAAAAGTTATTTGTGACATATAGTTGAATTTCAATGAAATGTTGGGTAGTAAGAGATAGTCAGTAAGAAATCCTTTTTATTCTAGGTTACGTATTAGTTTGGACATGTCAGCAGGGATGTCTATAATCTTGATTCCGACCGTTGTTGCTATTTCGACGTTATGATTGGGCTTCCCTATCGTGATGAACCAATCGAGCTATACTGGCTGGAACAATCGTTTCTCAAGGTTCTATCATGCCAGACAGGTTGGTTGAAGAGCGGTAAGACTAAAAGCAGCAAACCCAAGGTTCGATAATCTTGATGGAACTGAAATTCCCAGCCCCAGAATTTTAAACACTATCGTTGAGTTATTCGAGTACTGATTGTAAAGAAGTCACTGATGCACATTTAATGATTAATCCAAGTGTAAATAAGTTAGTCTCCAACAGTTATAACTTTTCACAACAAACTTTCAAAAAGTTAACTCGTAAAAAGTCACCAGCCAATGACATGATTATCCAGTTGTTGAAGGAAATCGGTTCATTTTTTTCGGGGGGGGGGTTTCTTTCATATACGTTTCTTTATTCACCTGAAGAAGCGACTTACATTAAACTGAAAAAGCATCACCAATTGAATGCTCTACTCATTGAGATTCAATAAATATATACGATTATTGTTTTAATATAAACAATTCATTCAATGATCAAGTCAAACTTGTAAAGAGCAGACTCCCACACAGCTGAGGAGTCCTATATTAGGACGAAACGACCGTTTTACCACTAATTCCAGCTTTTTAATCGTAGTCAACACATTCATGACATAAATCTATACTCAACAATCTCTACAATCCTATATTGATAAAACAAAGAATGTCATTAAGTGGAATTGTATATAATTATTTAGTGACTATATTTTATTAAGCATATATATATATTATATACTTACTCCTTTGAAGAATTAGTATCATTTCAATTATTAAAATAACATATTCTCTGCCATATGTTCTGCTATCGGCTATGTTTAGTAATATTTTAAAAGTACACACACACACAAACACAAACACGATCACACACACACAGACACCATGGCGTTAGAAATAAACTTGACAAAAAAGGTAATAAATAAAATGGATAAGTAACAAAATTAGTTAGTCTTGTTGCTATGTTAACAAATGAAATTCAATTTTCAAAGTTGACAATAAAACTTAAGTCCGTAGGAACAAACACACACGTAAGTTATGATAAAACCATTCACTGTGATAACACAAATAAAATAATTCTAGTGTTACACAATTATCCATCTTATCATTCAATAGATCTAAATAGTTTCATCACTTATAAGAAAATAAGATCAATTGACACCTGTTATGTTTACATGGTAACACACGCACACACACACAGAGCGAGAAAGAGAGAGGAAATATGTAGGAGGGAAAGAGTATGATTACAATATGACTATAAGAAATCAAAGTTTCAATGCTTTTTTAAGTAAATTTCAGTCATAATCATTATATAGTTTCAATATTTAATTAAAACAGGCGTAAGTTGAGCTAATTGTCTAGTTATAGACTTTTTGTTTGTTTGTTACAAGTTATATTATACTTGGATTATAGTTAACAGTAGAATCAATTGTTAACACTAATACTCTAGTAAACATGTATCTTAGATTCCATTATTAAAATAACAGTGGACAATAGCTATATCTTAAGATAAGTAACAATAATACAGGAAGTGTGTACTTACATTCAGTCGCAAATAATAATTCATACACTTTAATTGTATAAGAATTAATGATACTACCCTACTAAACTATCTAAATAGATCTGTATAAAGCATGGTTCAAAACTGTAATTCAATTAATTTAAGATCAAGTGCTCTAATCTATGAAATCGAGAGGATAAAAAGCGAATGACCGGAGCTTTAATCAGGTCATTGGATACGGTGGATCAATATACATGAGTTGGAAAATCCTGATTTCAAACCAATGATGTCATATAGGCTCCAGGAGCCTAAAGGAATGAATGGTGTATGAACGTGTTGTTGGTTACTGGTTACTTAACACTGCTCCACCACCTTGTGGATTAGACCTTTAAGTTGAAGGCTCTGGGTGTGACTCCCTAAGAACACCACCTGATTCAGTCTGAGCACCCGGTCAGTATCACAGCTCACACACAAATCAAGTGACTTATGTGTGGCGCATATGTATTCGGTGCTCCGTTTGTACCAATATTTATGTGTTCAAATAAATAAATAAAATAAATAACCACAGAACGATTAGTTTCCAGTATTAAATAAAGGATATGTGAATATGAATAAGTGTTGAATGTATACTTATAATTTAGAGGTTATATTTAGGCAATACCGTCTCAAGGCTAAAGGAAAAGAGTAAGACCAAAGAACACATTACTTCGAGAAACGGGGACAGATATAAGAAAAATGAACAAAAATTGTATAAAAATGGAAATGAAGACTCAGGACAGAGTGGGTTGGAGAATGCTGGTCAGCGGCCTATGCTCCATTGGAAGTAACACGCTTAAGTAAGTAAGTAATTTAGGCAAGATAAAATAATGACATGAATTGTACATAGTTAAAGTAATTCTTTGAATACTGTTAGTAAATGATGAAAGTTATTTTGTCCGAATACTATAAGTTGTAGAATGGCGAATACAATGAGAAGGTTATATATTTGTTTGTTTTTTTGTTGTTGTTGTGAGCGTTAATGTTTTAGATGGAATTAATGAGTAATAAGAAAGTGAAAAGCGTTGATATGATTAGATCAAAATGTATTAGAAATGGATATACAATAATATCACCTTCAATTCAACACATATGTTGTAGAGATTATTGAGATCTTGAATAGATCAATCTTTAACTACTATTGAATACTTGGAAGCCATGAACAATGGTGCCCATCCGTGTCGAGTCTGAAACAGTTACCTATCGAAAACAATAGATGGTCGCAGAATTTTATGGTATAGTTGAAGTTAAACATTAATACCGTTAGATACCAGTTCAACAGTCTACAGGTTAAGCATTGTTACGCAAGACCAAATATCTTGCATTCAAATCTTGTATGCAGGATTGTGGATAAGAGCACTGCTGAGAAATCCTGTACTAGAACGAAACAGTTATCTAGTACATCTAAATGTTCAATAGTAGTCTAACATTGATCGATTCATGATCTGAATCAAAAACATATTATTATTATCAAATATATAAGTTGATCAATTGAAGTCATCCTTTCAGTATTGGATATTTTAATTGAAATTAAAATTTGACAACTTTATACAAGAATTTCTCTATTGTTACTTGATTATACTTTACTTCCCTTTTCAAAGTGTAATCATTTCAAATAATTAATTTGACAATTAAAACAATCGAGTAAAGTTGACAAGTTGAACATGTACAACTATGATTACAGAAAGGGGTATATATATATATATATATATATATATATATATATATATATATATGTGTGCGTGTGTGTGATTTCGTTGGCGCCTTAACAAAAGTTGAACAATCATGATAATAGTTTACTAAGTTTTCTGAATATAATGAGCGGAAACTTCGTTCACTCTGACACAATGATAATTAAGAGAGTAAGATAA